TCCTCGGGCAGCCGGGGTTAAGGGCCGTTCGTATCGCGAGATTTTCAGATAGGACACAAATAGCTTGTCAAAGCGTCATGTCGCCGACGTCAATTGAGGATGCCTACACTTCATTGAAGCCCTTAATCTGAGTTGAGAAGTAGCGGCGGACGAATATCGCTCTGCCAGACTGCTTAATGGTGGAGACGTTCCTGATATCATCTTTAAGGTGTCATAGACGGAGTTAACTCCGTTTACCTCCGTTGATATTGCGCCGATATGCTCCACATGCACATATACCTAAAATGTCGCGGACGGTTTCCACACCATAGGTCGGACCGTAAATACTCGGGAGCATGTAGACGAAGTCACAAGGCAGTTGGTGAATTTACATGTTATGATGAGATTGCTGACGCAGCAGCACTCTAATTCCGACGTCAACCTACGTACGCGCCATCATGAACGTCAAACCAAGGCGCATCACAACCTTATCGTATCCATACTTCAATCGAAAAGAGAACAATTGGTATCGTATTTCAGGCATACCGTGGAAATCGCAATCCGCCCACGTAGGCGACAGATTCAAAAACACAAGCAAATTGCCAGTACTGCAACGCTCCTCCCATGCATACTGGCTTCCCATACAATCAAATTAGTGTACAAATGCCGATCCTGTTCTTCATTTTTGATACACCCCGACCCAGCGAAAATAGCACGCCATGTGGACAAAACTTACCGAAGATGGAACATAAAGCGGCAGAGATCGTCTACCAGGCATCCACGTCGAAGCCCTCTTCTGAGAACTCGGTTGCCACGACTGTTCTTCGCGAGAATTGACGACCAGCGAGTGCCTTGATGGCTTTTTGCGCTGACTCTGTGTCCTGGTACTTGATGTAGATCTTGCCAACACCAAGATTGACGCGAGCTCCGGCAGGACGAGGAATCTTGGTCTCGAGGATCGTTCCGTACTTGCCGCACTCCTCTTCGATATCTTCCTTGATTTCTGGACTGGTGTTAGTGTCATGTCCAACTCATGGGCATCTGCTGGTGCTCACCTTCGTATTCCTCGTCGTTGAGGAGCTCATCTGAAGTTACCATGTTCATGAGGCAAACAACACGGCTATGTTCGCGGTTCTCTGCGGCGCTCGCTCCTGCCAACATGGAGATGGCACCAACGCCACCATCCAGACCAGTAGTCTGCTGAAGACCGACAGTCGCACGCGACACCTTGAGATTACCATCGCCTAGTGGAATGTCATTCAGGCCTTCAATGGCAGCATCGTTGATTCCGTTCTCGGCGTACTCGCAGAAAGCAATACCCTGTAAAACGTTAGCAAGCTGGAAAGGTTAATTCAAATATACGACCTACGCGATGTTGGTCGGTGCTCGTGTCCTTGACTAGGATGAACGACTTAAGTTTGCCCATAGTCTCGAGAAGTTCACGAATTTGCTCTTCCTCAATATATGTGGGGATGTTGACAATGCTGAGCTTGTTGGGACTGTCCTTGACAACAGAAGATATTTCATCGCCAGGTGGGTTTGCATTCTCGTCGGCAGTAGGGGTGATGTAGTCCTTGGGCCGGCGGATGGAGAGGCCTGCCCGATCGGGAGCACCACCGTCATCACGCATAGAGATGCCGTTCATAGCCAGAGCGAGGGTTGCGTCCTCGGGTGCCTTAAACTCTAGCGCAGCGTACTCCTTGCTCGTCGCAATATGGGCCGATACACAGGGATCGGGTCCAGAGACAACGTTAAGACCATTGAGCTGGGTGTTGAAGAACTCCACAATCTCCTGGGATATGCAGCCTGAAGGCAGGTTGTGAACATAGAGACGCTTCGACTGCTTGGCGGCCGATGTGGCGAGAGCAGCAGCTGTGGCGGTTCCAGCCGAGGGCGAGATGAAGGCCGCCAGCTTGGACGGGTCCATGGGCGCAGCGCGGGGAGCTCCAGGCAGAGGGAACAAGCCGGACAGCTTGGCCTGCTCAGCAGTGATGTTCTCATAGCCAGCTGGCTTGATGTCCCACTGTGTCATGCGACGCGGGCGCTGCAGGATGTTGGTGAAGCTGGCAAGGTCTGGAGTAGCTTCTCGCGGCTTGGTGTACGGAGGAGAGTCTTCCTTGGGCTGACGCGCCCTATCACGCCCACCGCCAAAGCCTCCGTCACGTCCACCTCGGCCACCCCTTCGCTCATCACCAAACCTATCGCCGCCCCTCTCGTTGCGGTCTCTGTCCCGGCGGTGTCCACGGTCATCGTCTCCACGGTCGCGGTCGCGGTCTCCTCCACGGTCTCCTCGGGGTCGGTCGCGCCTAGAGTAAGAGTCGCCCCATCCGCCCCGGTCTCCTCCACGCTCGCCCCGATCATCCCGCCTCTCGCGACGGGCATATGTATCTTCGCGCTCGCGCTCACGGTAGTCGCGGCTGGACGAGTACGTATCTACTTCATAGTCGCGGCGGGAGCCTCCGCCATGGCGCGGGGAGCGAGAACGGCGCCGACGCCTATCACCACGGTCACCGCGATCACGATGGTCATCTCTCGAAGACTGTGCTGTTAGTATTTGTGTGTCAGTGGCGCGCCTGCGATGTGGACTCACGTAGTTGCGGGACCCAGCTGATCGACCGCCGTCTGCTTATGTTAGTACTTTTACATCTTTGAAACTGCACACCAGTCAGTACGTGTACTGGTCTAGCCGGCTTACCTCGGGAGTAACTATCGCCATTCATGGTGGTAGTGTTGATGGGAGCTATCGCGGTGGTAACGTACAGCCGCGTGAGATTCTGCAAGCGAGCACAAGGACACGGCGGCAGAAGCTGCAATCAGCAGAGCTGGATCAGGCGATGGTGGATGGATCAAGCCCGCAATGGTCCGGACTGTGGGACGCGATGCTTTCTGCGGTGGTTGCGTCTGCGATCGCGGAAAAGGTGAGTGAGAGAAAGTCGGGGCGGTCCTAGCGCGCCCTTGGCACCGCCCGCCCCTGTCGCCGGGACTGCTCCCAGACCCCCGTCACTAATTAAGGGACCTGCGACTCGATGTATCTATGATACGGAGAGAGGAACATTCACTCTCCTAACTACATCACACCCACACAATAGACCCACAATGGTATTGCGCGCCGCAGAATGGCACAAGCTGCCTACAAGCCTTACCGAACTATGCATTGACACTACCTTGCGCTGCGGACAGTCTTTCCGGTACGATGCTCTACATGGTTGCATCTTGGTCGCCAACAATGCTAACACACCCCCTCCAGGTGGCGCAAGTCTGCTGAAGGCGAATGGTCAGCAGCCCTCCATGGTCGCATCCTCTCTTTCCGCCAGGATTCCCAATACTTACACTACCGAGCCATATACCCATCCATTACCACTGCACTACCTACGCCACCTCCGTCCAATGCGCCTTCCGTCGCCCCCGAGGAAGATGACACGCTTGCCCTTGTCAACCACTACTTCAACCTCTCGCCAAACCTCGGCCGCCTGTACGAGCAATGGGCAGCCTCAGATGCCAACTTCAGAAAGCGGGCGCCCAAATTCACAGGAATACGTATATTGCGACAAGATGCCTGGGAGGCCCTCATCGGCTTCATATGCAGTAGCAACAACAACATCAGTCGCATATCCGGCATGGTACACAACCTTTGCCTGCACTATGGACCTCTGATAGGACACATCGACGAAGTTCCCTATCACGACTTTCCCACACCTGCTGCCCTCTCCGGTCCAGATGTAGAGGCCCATCTCATGAAGCTTGGCTTTGGATACAGGGCAAAGTACATCGCCAAGACTGCGCGAATCGTCTCAGAGGAAAAGGGTCTAAAGTGGCTTGAAGATCTGAGCAACCCCGAATGTCCTCAATTTGGCGTTGAGGAGAAATCAGCTGGGGACATGCTCGAAGGTGGTCGAGAGGGGTACAGAAAGGCTCACGAGGAGCTGCTCGCACTTCATGGTGTAGGCCCCAAAGTTGCAGACTGTGTGTGTCTCTTTGGTCTCGGCTGGTCCGAGTCTGTACCTGTTGATACCCATGTCTGGCAGATTGCGCAGCGCGACTATCGCTTCGGCAAAGGCAAACACAGCAGTTTGACAGCAGCGACATATGTTGCCATAGGTAATTTGTTTCGCAAACTATGGGGGAAGGAAGCAGGCTGGGCGCATTCTGTATTATTCACGGCGGATCTCAAGGCATTTTCGGAACGAGTGGTTGCCAAAGTAGAGGTGAAAGAAGAAGAGGTCGTAATCAAAAAGGAGGATGACGAGACTGTAATAGAAACTACAGTGAAGAAGGAGGTGACAAAACGGAAGCGCATCAAGAAGGAACCGCTACCAGACGAGGGGCCGGTTGTGCAAGTGAAGCAGAAGCCTACGCGAAGGAGTAAGCGTCAACGCGTCTAGGCAACACGTGGGCAATATATCCTGTTAGACGATCCACTCATTACCTCTTATCTGCGGATGTTCAACTCACAGCCCCTTGTGTCAAGTGGAGTTGGCTTATATATAGACACATCCTCATACTTAGACAGTGGCATTATAAGTCACTCTTCGTCAGGCCACCCCCGCTTGACGATCAATTAACCTTTCGACGGTAACACAGCTGCGCAAAGACGGCGCCATACTCTTTAAATGGGATGATGGTCTCGGCGAAGGATTACACGTTCAGATACTCCTGAAGTTCGGATGCAGACGTCCTAGACGTGTGGGGGCCAAGGGGTACTACACACGGCTAGCGTCATTTCACTTGCATAGCCTTCACAGCCTCGGGTTCGTGTCACTCATTAGCAAATATGATCCTATGGACGCCACTATTTACTTCCATCCAATTCGCCCGGCGCAAAGTCCATATCCGGCATCTTTTGTCGAAAGCGTCCAACAACTGCGGCAAAGCCATGTGGCATCCCGCAGGAAATGTTTCACTGCACCGGGCACCCCACCTTTCAAGCCCAACTGTTTCCCCCTTAGACATCCAACGATACTGTAAATTATAACACAAGCGATTGCCGGAGACTTCGGTCATCTTTGGAGGCAGTCATGGCCATGGAAGGTCTTTCAGTGGCGGCTAACGGTAAGCTCTAACCAAACTCGCTACTTCTCTTATTGCAGGATGTTGACAAGTCTTAGGCCTAGCTGTAGTCTCGATTACTGTTCAACTCACCGAGTCATTCATAAAGCTATACAAATTCTGGAATTCCGTCGAAGATGCACCACAAGACATTGCAGCCATCAATGAGGATCTCCAGTACCTTATTTCAGTATTCCAAAGGATCCAATCCACAAAGGGCTCAATAGGAGAGTGTGTAGCTGAGGGAATGCAGCATTGTTGGGGTAAGGTTCTTGTGCGTCACCTTTCCATTCTAAACTTGCTGTCTTCTAAGAATCTAGGAACTCAACACCATTGTGGCAGATTTTGATCAAGGGTTTCAGTCCTCATCGCGCAAGAGACGGAGATGGGCTGCTTTCAAAGTCGCTAGTCATAGTAAGCATATTCAAAAGTTTCGCGACTCACTAAGTGAGACGAAATCGACTTTGATTCTTGCGCTTGTACATCAATGGTGTGCTCCTGATTCCCTCTCCATACTGGTGTAATACGATGGTACTAACTTTTCAAAAGTGCGGTACAATCTCAGTCATATACTCCGACTGTCCCTGTATATACGACACTGTTCCTTGACTCCCAGCACTACGTAGACCACCCTGAATCAAAGACAAACCTACCACTAGAACGACCCGCAGATAAAAGGGCAATCTTTGGACGTCAGCAAACTCCCCCACCAACATACGGGGAACAGAATATCTTCCATAGGAACCTAGTTGGAGAACAAAAAACAACAAAAGCTATAAGGAAAGATTTCCAGGACATGGTCTCGAAACAAGCCACGACCACACTGAACCTACCGGGACTTATGCTACATGCGATTGAGCAGATTGCAGTCGCTAAATTCGAGACAAACTCGCTTGAAGTCTTTGCTCAGGACGGATACTCAGTAGACTGCAACGGAATGCTTCGAGTGCGGACCTTTGTCTATTCGGACAATTTGCGATATCGTGTCAGCCACCAAGCGACGGGTTTCCGGACTGCTTTTGGCTGTTTATGGATACGCGAGACCAAGCTTCATCTTCCGGGAAAGGCGCAAAATAAGGAAGAAGAGTCAAAATGTGTTACGTCTTACATATTCTACCCCAATACCTGGATCCAATGGTTAGGTGTCCGCAGCGGATTCGAAGCGATCATGGCTTCTGCTGGCCGAAACTGGTTGTACAATTGTAAACTAACCGTGACCCGCGCCGTTCCAGACGACGCGCTGATCTTCGACCTTTGTCGGAATGGCCAGACTCGAGCTGTAGAGATTCTCTTGAGCAAGGGGCTTGGGAGTGTGGTTGATACCAGTCCTAGTGGGTGGAAGCCCTTACACGTAAGTCACTTGTACCATAAAGCCCGCTCGGTCCAGCGCCTCATACATTTACTAATATTTGCTGTTGCAGTTTGCAGCGGCAGGCGGGCATGTTGACCTATGCGCTATGTTGATCGAAGCAGGTGCCGATAAATCGGCATTGGCATACGAGGGACCAAGCTCTGCCATACTGTAAGATATCTTTACCGCACTCAAGGACAGATGATACTGACTTTTACAGCTCTCCCATTACTCTGTTTGTCGCCTCCGCTCAAGACATGCATGCCGAAGTCAAGATCTCAATGTTGAGGCTGTTTTCCGATTGTATTGAGTTGACGGACGCGAAGAGCGACGGCTGGACAGTACACGAGTGGCTAAAGAGAACGTATGCACTGGAAAACGTGCCCATCTCGCAAAATAGCATCACGTGGCTCCTTCGTTGCACTGCGACAGAAGAGTATGTCCAACTCAGCTCAAACACAATATGGTGTGGTCTGCAGCATGCTGTAAGAACAGTGCTTTCTCACACCCGACATGGCCGCTTTCTAGACAGCATTATGGACCTCTCGCATGAAGAATATAAAGCAGCTGGTCAGAAGAGGATAGACGCCATAGGAGTATTGCTTGCTTTCAGAGTCTGCGGCAGAGTGCTACTACCGATGGTAGCCAACGCAGGGTCCTTTTGCCAGATGCCAGGCTTCGATTGGGTCCACGATGACTTGAGTCACAGGGAGTACTTGCAAACTCTTCCCGTCATGTATACTGCATGGTGTAACATGATACTCGACTACACTGAGAATTTGGAACGCTATCTCAGAGAAGAGCTCGAATACTGCCAGCAGCAACTGGGCATCACAAAAGCCGATTTTCTGGACACGAATTCACACCACTACCGTAGCACAACGCACGATGCACGACTCAAACGCCATATTTGCACTGGCTGTGTAGACGACTACACCCATCTTCCTAGCGCACTCGCATCCCCTATCCGCATCGCTGTCGCCGAGTGCATCGAGACCAACCACCGCTACGGCTGCGTCTGCGAAAAAGCAGATATGCTAGCTGCCGCGGCCAGAGTATCAGAATTACCAGAGTACACTGGCACTTATTGCTTTGTAAGCAACGACAACGACACAACGGACGACGAATTCTACGACGCAGAGCCCTACCTCTTCCCCAACGACCTCCCTCCAGACCAGCATAGCGTCTTGGCCGATGTAGCACTCTTGCTGTATCGCTCGCACGGTAGGTTCTGGCTGGGCGACTACACTGCAGATGAAGTCCTCTGCGCCACCTGTCTTCTCACCCGAGAACGCTACACGGACAAAGACGGCTCGATTGCTGACTTCTCGCCCAGACCGCATCATTTCGATGGGCTGAGGTTGAAGTCCATAGCCGGTGCGTAGTAAAGATCTGAAGAACCAGTTTCTTTCCTTCTTCTACCGTTACACGGTTTCTCAAGGCGAAACTGCACCGCTTCTACCATTTTCGAGATACAAACAGCCAGTTGTCTTGGAGAGAAGCGGGAGGCAATTGCCTTCTTTGAGACCTGATTGGGATCATGAACAAGTGGTGCGGCTTTTGGATGTCAGCCTACATCACGAAAAGGCATCACGCATTTTCTGGAACGCTTCTGGTACTATGGATATCGTTTCTGCTGTTCATCGTGGAAACATACGCCACGACACGACCCAGATAATCGAACCCATGGTCACTATCAAACAACGAGCTTCTCCTACGCCTAAAGAAGATTCGAAAAACGCAAAAGATGACGAAAACTTAGTCCTCGTCATGAAAGTGAGTATTAACACCGCTGACATATCTCTGAGATACAGTTGAGCTAACCACGGGCCAGGTGAATCGAGCTGTCCAGAGTTACGTTAGTATATCGTCTCCTGGAGACGATCGAGTGTGGCAGAGAGGGTGGAGGATGAATAAAGAAAGTGTCAAGCGATGAGGACCCACATTGGATAAAAAGTATATCGGGGAAAGATTGCATAAGTGTTTCTAGAATAAAGATTCATGTATGAAAAAGAAATGGAGATACCTTTCATAACTCTGAGCCCGCAAATCCAATCAAACCCCCCCCCACAAAACACTTACTTGCCATTACATTCCTCCACAAAAAGAAATCCTCTCAAATCCCCAAAACCGACTTCATCACAACCCCCAACTTCTCCTTTGCTTCCTCCTCACTTCCAAGCGGCTTCTTCGCCCGCCACGCAACCGTGCGATCAGGCCTCACCAGGACCGCGCCCTTCTCCTCGACCCCACGCACCTCATGCCACCTAAACAACGCATCGCCGTAATCCTGGCCAAACCCAATACTCTTGACCGCAATCTCGACCCCAGTCTCCTTGCCCACCTGTTCCGCCGCGCCTTCCCAAACCGCTTTGCCCCCGATGCCCGTGAGGAGCGTAAACCGGTTATGCCCAACGACATCTCTGGTCGAGATGAGGGGGAGACGCGGGCCAGGTTCAGTCTGGCGGGGCGCAAGCCACGCGTGGGGGACACGCCAGCCAGGGTAGGTGCTGGTGTATAGCTTGGTGGAGCGATCGGATACGTTGGTAGGCCAATCCGGGTCTTCTGTTTCGTCGGAAGTGTAGACGGCTGAGGACTTGTACCACTGGTTCATCATGGCGCCGATGCAGTGCCGTTCATCCGCGAGATCGCGGATAGCCTGGCGGAAGCGGGCGCGGGCGGCCTCGCCCTCGGCGGAGTCCTGGCGCAAGAGTTCGTCCATTTCTGCGCGGCGGTCCACGCCGAGCTCGTTGAGGAAGCCGAATTGGCCGTAGAAGCCAAAGTTTAGGCGGCCATTTTCGTTGGTGCGCTGGACGACGTATTCACCGGCGGGTTGGCGCTCGTCGTTGTAGGTTTTGAGGAGGGATTTGTGCGCTTTGCCTTGCAGGACGTAGGCCATTTTCCACGCCATATTGTACGAGTCTTCCATGCAGGTGCTGATGCCAAGGCCGCCAAAGGGCGGGTGGCGGTGCACTGAGTTGCCTAAGGCGTGCACATTGCCCGACGGGGAGGAGTAGTGCTTGGCGTAGACCTCGTCGAAGCTCCAGGTGCTGATTTCTTTGACCTTGTACTCGATGGTGTCATCGCCAACGAGCTCCTTCATGCGGGCCAAGATCTGCTCTTCAGTTGCCTCGAGCTTCTTGTACGTGGGGTGTGGGAATAGCGAAATCACCCAATCGTTCCAAGGCTTGATGAAATGCGCGATTCCAAGAACACCATAGTCGGGTTGCGGCTTGTCCGGGCGATCGAGGTAGTGAAGTAGACCGCGATTGTGCTCAGTAAGGTGCTTAAGATCAGCTTCAACCCACACACTGATGACGAAGCCATTGCCTGGGCCGTGGACCATGGGGAGATCGAGCTGGCGTGCTACGGTACTGTCGGGTCCATCTGCACCTGCAAGCTGCTTGGAACGGACAGTGGTGATTTCGCCTGTGACGGTATTTTCAAGTGTGCTGATCACAATGTCCTTTTCTGTATTCTCGGTAAAGCTGACCAGTCTCGTGTTCCAACTTGTTGGGAAGCCATGCTTTTCAGAATGTTCGAGCAACAAGGGCTCAAGATCGGACTGACAGAGACACAGAGTCTTGGATGGACTTGCATCGAAGTAATCACCCTGCATTAATTGTTCCCGCAATTAGTATTTATTCCCTTCAAGATCCACGTGCAATAAATGGAGGCCTTACATGTCGATGGGGATCGTTGCCAAACACATGGGCTCTGTAGATTTCCTCACCAACAAGCGTCTTGCAGAAACGAGTATAGGTCGAGTACTCTGATACGGGCCATGCAACCTCTTGCGCCTTTGCCTCGATGCCAATTTCTCGAAGACATTCTGTGGAGCTGTTGTCAGCGCCTCCCGTATTCTTACCCGAGAAAGGCTGAAGCAAGCGAATCCTACGTACCAAGGCCAGCCATGTTCACGTAATTGGCACGCGGGCGCGGCGACGGGCCAGGCTCAGCGTCGATCTGCAACCCTGTGATTCCTTTAATGCGGAAACTTCAGTTAGCATGCTTTTTGCGCAATGTTACATAAGACGGATATGTGTCAGATGGCACGCCTTACCGTGAGATCCAAGGAAGCTGCCTAGAGAGGCACCCGTAGGTCCCGCGCCAACAATGAGAACATCGACGTCAAGTGTCTGAGATTCCGTGCTGCCGTAGTCGCCCATTGTGATGGTTTTTTTTGCTGTGCAAAATCAAAGTGCAAGGATTGGATAGGATTCGCTGCAATCAGGCAGAGAGAATGGATACGTGTGTCTATCTCCAACAAGTGGGCTCAGCTGGCTGACGACTTCTGACTAAATTGACAACATGTCAACGGGTTTCTTTTTATCTCTACTCTAACATGACGAAGGATTCATGGTGCCTCGTGCAAACCGTTCATCTGTCCCGAAGATGCTGAAATGCCATGTTGTTAGCGAGGCAGAATTTCCTCCGAACATGCTGGGTCAAAATCCTCCGGTAGGTGGCTGTGAGGCGAAAGGGTTCAGTCGACGGGAGGCGTATGGGCCGAGGATGGGGGGCTTGATCCGGAGTGACTTGTTAGGCGCCAGATGTCTCGCTTTGGAGATCGGCCCCCAATTGTAAGGCGGAAGGAATGGTCGGAACATAGGGCTGCCGCGTGGAGAGGGAAAGTCGGGTACATGACGCGGGACAAATGCCCAAACAGTTGTATGATCGGTTGATCATTGGCGTGTAAGAGAAACAGGTGCATCTACGCGTCGCCGAAACCTGTTGAGGTGTCATCGGGCTAGATGCATAGCGATTACGCTGCTGTTGTTGTAGTCGGCTAGCGCCCCGGCCACGTGACCAAACCCCGCGAGCATGCCATCCAACACGGAAGCGTCATCAGCCGCAATAGGCCCAGGGCGATGTTCCCGCAAGGAGAATCCCTGTTCGATAAATTGGGGGGAAAAGTGGGTGTGGGTTCCCTGCGGGCCGAAACCGAAATGGAAAGGAGGCTAAGATTTTAACACGTGCCAAGCCGGGGGAGCCCTTGCCAATGACCTCCGATGATCTTATCCTGAGCACCTTACGCTAGCATCCAGTTCCCCTTGTGGTGACAACCACGCGCCGCATCTGTACGGTATATCAGGACCTACAGAAAGGATATGCATCATGTACAGGGGTGTCATCACCTACGTGCATATGCATACACACACGAGAGGGTGTAGTGGCTGCTTTGATTATTTTTACACACCATGCCTTGAAGTAGCTATTCTGCTTCTCTTCAACCCGTACTACTGTATTGCAACTTTACAAACATGGATCTCAGTCAGCTAGACACTCTGTGTTCCGAACTCGCCCTTACTGCCAAGAGACTCAAAGCACTGTGCGACCGCAGCAATCAGACCAGCATTGCCGTTACCAAAGAGCCTACAACCGACGTCTTGGTTCCTCCGGCCAGCGCAGAAAACCTAGAGCATGAAATCGCCTTGGCGCATAGTAGCCTCAGCGGAATCTCCTCCCGCTTGGAAATACTTTTGGCTGGTCCTGCGAGCTTCATACAGTCCTTAGCCACACAGGTATGTCAGTGTGCCTCCCTCTTATCGCCAAAATGTATCTTGTCTTCTTGACACCAATTAGCTAAGCCTGTAATTTGCAACAGAATCAGCTTCTAGCCTGCCTAAAATGGATGGGCGAGTATCAGATCATCGCCTACATACCATTAGATGACACCATTTCACTCGAGGAGCTTGCGAATCTGGCCAATGTGCCGGAGCACACACTCAGCCGAGTTGTGAGGATGACTGCCACTGCAGGTTTTCTGTATGAGCCTCAGTATGGACATGTTGCACATACGTCTTTGTCGTTATCATTTACGACTGAGTTATCCTATTTCGACGCTGCCATGTTTTTGGCAAACAAAGTGGCCCCTGCATCCCTCGATCTTACCTCTTTCGCAAGCGAGCACGCAATCGACCTGCAATCATCGCGACTCTTGGACTTTGTCTCCCAAGAACCACAAACGAACCGGCAATGGCAGGCCTACCGTCAGAGCATGGGTAGCATGAGCAACCAGCTTGCATATTTGCCAAACTTGCTCAATTGGCGTAGCTTGGGAGACGCATGTGTTGTCGATGTGAGTGGCCAAAGAAGCCAGTTGAGTTGCTCTTGTGACCAGTCTTTGCTGACAAAGTACAATTGTGACAGATATGTGACAACGACACAAGCCTGGCGCGGGACCTGGCCCAGACTGCTCCAGCCCTTCGATTGACGGTACAGACGTATGATTTTATACCCACGGACGCGGGTCTGTCCGGGGTTGGCAACGGCGACAAGGATGTGGCTACCAGCGAACGCATCATAATACAACGGAGAAAACCAACGGCAGTGCAGCCTGTAAAAGACGCGGCAGTGTATCTTCTACATCCTTCTTTTTGCGCAGCGAGCACACGTGGTTACACGACCGACGATCTTATCACAATGGAGCTCAAGGCACATTTCGGTATTCTCCGAGCCAATCCAATGGCCTTGTTGATTCTGGCACCGGCAATGTTGCCTGAACCAGGGTCAGTAGCCATCAATGTTGAGGCCCGAGTACGGCTTCTCGACTTCACGGATATGCACCTCACCGGTAACGGAGCCATGGAAGTGTCTGAACTTTACAAACTTACAGAAAGCATATCTGATGCACGCGGGAAATTAGTGGTCAAGAACCGCGTTCGGTCCGCCGACGGGGCTACTATTGCGTTAGTGGTCAAATATCAATCTTGTGAGGGCGCTGAGCTCATCTGACAAACTTTACCGAGTCAATGTACATACTACTTTTTTTTCGAAACTCTACAGCAGAAATGTATCCACAATATAATCTTGTACCAATTAACCGTGCCATCTGCGTCCATGTGCCTTAACAAATGGCCGTATCAGGGTGTATTCAAGTGGGGCGCTAACTTGTCGCTGTTACATCCCCTTGTCTGGTTTAAAGTGAGAAGTTATGCGAAGTGTCCCCATGTCGTGACTACAAGCACTGCAGCGGAATTGTTAGCTCATTCGAGCGAGCTGGGTTATCCTAGTAGAAGGCAAGCTTAGCTCGAATGGCCCTGGTAGACATATTCTGGGGTTCGGCGGAACCCATTGAGTTGCTGCCAGTTGAAAAGGATTTTCAACGGAAATGATGCAATCAGATGCCGATTAAATTCAGATCGCGCATATTGCGAATGTCCTGCTTCTCGCAAGGATTCCGCCACACCTTTTGGCAACTAGAGTTCCGGGTATCCCCACACTGGGTGCTCCGAAAAGGATCCGATACGAGAAGAGCGGAGTGGCCCGGTGCTTTCCCGCGGAGCAAAACGGCCTTAAAACATAGTTATGTGGTTAGCTTGGAAATATACACCCCGAATCGCGAGGTAGGATGACATAAGATACGGTCCGATTTGTACTACTTACTGGGTAGGGGTCCGCATCGGAACCTCCGCATCTCAGTACGCGTACTATTGCATTAATGGCGTTGATGCAATCTTCCGTGGGGAGAAAATGTAAGCTTCACGTGGCTGATGTGGCGTACCATGTCTCCCGCGGGGGGGGGGGGGGGGTTTCGCGGTCCAATGTGCTGGGACACGGTAGGATAAGGGCAGTTCTCGGGACCCGAGTACAGAGTTTCGGTTTCTCCGGACCATATAGCAAGGGGGACCCGAACGGGGAAGAATGGAGGCATGGGATATAAACGGCAGCTGTTTGATCAATTCATTATACATTTGACACACCAGGTCTCGTTACGAGTCGTCGAATCATTCTACTTTGAGAAAATGGCGTCCAACGGGCATCGCAACAAAGGCCTTCCGCCAAGCAAGTATCTGTGTCTTACCATTCTCGGCTACCGAAAGCCAGGATTAAGCGAGGAGGACTATCGCCGCCACATGATAGAGGTATCCGCTCCGCTCACCAAGGATCTCATGGCCAAGCATGGAATCAAGCGTTGGACCGTCATCCACAATCCGCAAGAAACGCGGGAACTCATGAGTGAGCTGTATGATGCACAGATGGCAAACGTGGCCGACTACGACTGCTTTAGCCAAGTCGTGTTTGAGAGCGTGGAGGACTACAAGAATCTCCGAAAGGATCCATGGTACAAGAGCCGTCTATTTGGAGATCACGAGAAGTTTGCCGACACTAGTCGCAGCCAGTAAGTTTGCTGACGAGCAGCAACCTAAAGCGGAATGCGACTCATGGCTAATGGTTTGTAGGATGACGATTGGGTGGATTGAGGAGTGGGTTCACAATGGCCACATTCGGGAGAGTATGGACGCGCCATGGCCATCGTTGCAAGGCTAACGCTTTTGGCCTAGCCAATCAGCAGGCGGGGTTATAGTGTAATTTGTCGACTAGTAGCTAGATTTTGCCGTGTCCGGCTAGTAGCTCGAATGTTTTGATGACGGGTGGCATGATTTGCTGTCACCCAAGCATGTTCTTGGTCCTTGCAGCTTGGTACGTGAAACTGTGGTACGTCTTGTGTGACAATGGAATGTACGAGTGTCGTAATACGGAGGAGGACGCGACAGCTGTGCCAAGATCAGCATGGTAGTACTGTATACGCGCATAAGTAGGAGTGGTGGGTTCTACTCTGGTGAGGCGGAAAACTACCCTGCTGGCATGAATGAGGGATGGCCCACTGGGATCCGCTTTGGCACGGCGAGGCTGAAATGTTGGAAAGAGGAAGGAAAGAGGGCGAACGGTGGGATGGGTGGGATGGGCGACTAAGGCTGGCGTGCATGAGGCTAATCCCGAGACAGCGGCCACTAGAAGGATTACCCCGCGATGTTTCCGAGACGACGGAGCAACTCACTCACACTCACCACCACCTAGGCACACGTAAGGGTCCAAGGCAGAGGATCCAGGATCGCCGGGGTCCAAAAAGAGCGAGGATGCACAGTTGCAAGCAGGCTTGGGAACACGTCTGGTGGGTCCGCGGCCATGTTGGCGGTGGTACTTTGGGGCGTTCTCGACACGTGCAGGGCGACGGCTGAGTGCTAGGAGCGTCTTCGGCAGTATACGACGTTACTTTGGTTAGCAGGCCAATCAATGCCCCGGCGATGCCCTGGATATACAGGGCCCGATGAGTGGGTCTTATCAGGGACGTGGGTAGCATGCATAAGTACAGAGAGGTATGTTTTGCGGTCCGCCAGCCACTGACGACGAGGGTGACCCGGCTGCTGAAGGGCGTCAGGCCTGCGAGGCTGGCGATTTACTGCACGATCCCAGGAACCATATAGCCGCACGATCGATGATTTGGGCGCAATCGAGGCGACAGTGACACAAGTCCCTCGCCAGCGCTGTGCACGAGCCGTGATAGGCGTTGGCTTGCTGGGCGGCGCCTGTGTGGGATTATCATCTTGGAGCAGCCTGGAAGAGGCCATAATGGATACTAAAGTGTGCACATTGTCCTGACCGTCTAGGTACATACACACATGCAGAGGGCCATCTACGCTTCCAGAGGGCAGAGAAGCAGTGTTGAGATTGAGAGATGTCGACCACCACCCTCTCCACCACTTCCCCGACCACGGCCAGTGGCTCGCGCCCTGCTGCTGCCCGCCACGGCGGCGGCCTCAAGGTGCGCGACTGCTGCCAGGCTTGTGCCAAATCAAAAGTCCGTTGCACAAAGGAACGCCCGTCGTGCTCTCGTTGCGAGAGCAAAGGCATCGAGTGCCGGTACTTGCACTGCAAGCGTCCAGGACGGGTGCCAGGGAGTAGTGCACGTCGTGCAGCATCGCTCTCGACCGACCAAACCAAGAGCCGGGCAGCCGGGACATCAGATGCAGGCAACACCCTCGACCATCCAAATTCTCCGTCGCCCTCGCCACACGCCAGCACCACAGCAGACCATGGCACCGCTTCGCTACTCCTATCGCCTGCATCCTCGACGACATTCCAATCTGATCGTGCCCAATGCAGCACCAGTGCCCACCACCGCGTCGACTCGTTCCAGACGCACATGGATGCATCCGACGCACTGCCCCCGGACTTCTTCCCGCCTTTCAATCTCGACAATAGTAGCTCAACTAATGGCGTATGGGACGACTGTCTCGACACGCTCGCCGCTATCGATGCGCCCATGTATACCGATCTCATGGACTGGGACTCCTCTGCTGCGCCCATGGCGACAGGCCTACCGCTCGACTCCACCTTGGGCCTGGATATGCTAGACGGCAGCACTGGCTCTCAATCGCCGTTTGACCTCTTGATTCCATCAACTAGCAACTTTTCCACCGAATCAAGCTCGCGTGCGTCTTCTTCGGAATCGTTAATGTCATCGGCATCTTCAATGCCACCATTATTTTCGTCAGCATCGTCATCGACATCATCGTCATCATCATCATCAGCATCATCATCGTCGTCAAGGCACCCAAGTCTACCGAGAGACATTGTTGCGCTAACAGCCCTACCCGGTGGCCAGACATGCGGCCAGCCGGCGCACCCAGAAGCGGTAAACTCGACCGTCTTAAAAGCGGATAAAGGGATCAACTGCAACTGTCTGCACAAGGCACTTGATTTGTTCAAAACCATCACTCAAAACCCCTGTTCGGACCCATCTGCGGTGTCCGGGAGCCCCCTGACTCAGCTCATCCTGGCCAAGAACAAGCAAACGATCCAGGCCATGCTTTCTCTGGTTAGCTGCAACAACTGCCGCGACGACAAGCTGCTCATTGTTGTCGCGCTGCTCATCACGATGAAGATGCTGTCGTGGTACGCTTCTGCTGCTGCGTTGACGGGCGGGCCTGGGATTGGCACTAGCAACGCCATGGATGGCATCCCCATGACTAGCGGGCACGGAAGCCCCGTATCAGCCACGCCAACGGCGACGGGCCGCCAGCAGCCTTGTCATCGACAAGCGAAGCAGCAAGTCTTGCGCGAACTGCATTCTGTACAACGGTTGATAACTTCACTTTCGGCCAGGCTAAAGGGTCTCGATCCTCACCCTGCTGACTCACTCCCGGCGCAAAATGAACTAGAGCGCAGTTATTATGGCCGCAGGCGCACAATGCCCACGACGCTCTTTCGGCCAAATGCCATGGATCCGACACTCATGCCTCTCTCAGCCCGTACGCTCGAGGCAGTTGAAGTCGATGCCCGCAGTAGTCTCGGCTTTCTATCCGCAGCTGTGAGGAATGCGCTCAAGGAGAGTTGAGTCGGTGGTATGGCCCGCTTCATCACTTCCGCATCAAATGCGGTTTAATACGTCGTCTCCTTTTTTTTCGTCTCCTTTTCTTTTCCTTTGTTTACGGTGTTGGCTACATTATACCACATTTCCGGTTTTTGGTGGGATACGATAGGCATTCTCTTTCTATGCATACTCTCGTTGGATGTGTACCTGGGCTGTGATTCTAGGATGCGAGGCTGCAGGTAGTAGCACAAGGAAGTTTCCATTGGCACAGCATGCACCTACCTAGGTCGTAGGGCGAATGGCACACGATATGGGCGCGGCGCTGCAAGATGTTTATATTCATCGGTCTCTATGGCCAGTTACCCACTCGTGCATAGTAGATAGAGTCATAGACATGACGGTCACGGTGGCGGTGAGGTACGTTTCATGCACATGTGCGGCACAGACAGCAAGCCCACACCACCGAGGGCGATGGTTTGCGTCAAATGTACTAGATAGATGGATATCCAAAGGCAATTTCCCCATGATTCAAGGCATTGTGTGGTGTTGTGCAACCGATACAGGCTTGGCTGGCATGGCGCAAGTCGCTGGTGCGTGTTCGCTTCTGGGCAATGATCGGCAGCCCTCGTGGCAGGCT